AAAACCCAAAGCAATGTTACGAGCAGGAGGATTGTGTCCATGTCAGGCACTGCAGAGAAAAACTCACGCAAACACGCCAAACACTGTGACGTCAAGTTTTTCAAAATCTGTTTCTTGTTCACATATAAAGTTTTCACTAGAGCTGAGCGATAAATCGATTTAATCGATTAATTAGAATGTACAGTTCAGGACGATGTGTTTTCATGAAAATCGATTTTATTAGTTTTTTTACACACGAGCACCAAAAGCGGAACTAATGCGACACACCATTCTTCACGGGCAAATTAGCGCGGCACCCAAACACTGTAGCAGATTCGCTAACAACATGGCAATGACAGGGGTAAAGCTGGCGCTTGTGCCCAAGAAAGGTGTTGCTACATCTGTAATATGGAATTGGTTCGGTTTTGCGCCATCGGACACAGACCAAACAAGTCCTCATTGCAAAGTCTGTTTAAAAACTGTTGTAACCAAAGGAAGCTGCACGACAAATTTATTCCAGCACGTAAAGCAGAGGCATGCAGCGGAGTGAAAATAGCCGCAGTACCAGCACAACAAAGTTAAGCAAGCAACCGTCCCTGACACGTTTTCGAACTGTGTGCCATATGATAAGAATGGAGCATGGTGGAAGGCGATAGCAAACGCTGTCACGATGTATAGTGCAAAGGACATGGTGCTCATACATACTGTGGAAAAGCTGGGATTCATTAACATGCTAAAAGTTTTAGACCCGAAGTATGTGCCTCATTTTTCTTAACACTGCCAATTTTTCAAAACCTTTCTTTTGCACTATGTCAAGCCCAATGGCATAAAATATTTACTTAATACCAAGCTGACATGATAAAATTGTGTGGTATTTTTTCTATTATTATTACAATATTACTTATTACTTTTATTTATAAGTTTGAGGGTGTATTGTGTTGTTGCCAGTTTGAAAATAAGCTATAGAGAAAGCTTTCTAAAAGTTTTTACAAGTTTCTAAAAGTGTTTACAATGGCGTGGTCTGCCATCTCACTTACAAGCATCTTTTATGGCTTTTCAGATTGCACTTTAACCCTAAAGTAAAAAGAGCTAAATAAAGTTAAAACTTGTTTTGAACCATTTATTTGTCATCTGTAGTTTGATTTTGAGTAGGGGAGGGGAAAATCGATTAAAATCGGAAATCGGATTTTTTGTGAAAAAATCGGAGATTGTATTTTTAGGCCATATCGCCCAGGTCTAGTTTTCACCTTGCAGAGTTTTCCAAAATATCAGTTTTCACTGACCTAATACACTGTTTATGTGTGGATGAAAGGCCAAAACACATAGAAAAAGCTCAGTTTTGCAAAATACCCGTGTACCACACGTACACAGGTGACAGGGCCTGAATGCTGACCTGCGAGACAGAGAGTAGGAGCAGGCAGTAATGGTCAGAAATTTTTAAAATCCTGCGCATGGCTCTACTCCATAGTAAAAAATTACAACAAGTTACATTGGCATAACATAATGACCAGAAAGAGGGGCCAACAGTTAGCCAGGCTCTATCCAAAATTATGAAAATCTGCCAAGGAGCACCTCTACAGCTCACTATTTAAGGTTTTATCTTGTATACTTCTTGCACCTTAGCCATCATCTCATTACAACTCCCTAACTAAATAATTAGTTTACAGAGGACGAGACTCACCAAACATGCAGTCTTGCATAATGGTCTGTTTGAATGGCTGCTTGTTTCCCTTCCCAGCCCAATTCAAATGACAGGCCAGGGGATTACTCAGAGCAGTTGCTAGCATCCTTCGGATCATGGAATCTGATGTGGTGCCTCCAACCAAAGCCAAATGGGCAATCTAAACAGATGTGGTGGAGAAAATTATGGTCATTTTTGAGGCCACTGCTTATACTGTAGTGCTGAATATTATATTGTTCCGGTGCATGCCCCCCAGCACAGATTAGTTATTTCCAGCAGAGCAGGAGCAGAGCAGGGGGCTGGAATTGAATAACGCTGATACAAACAACTTCCGATATTCAGATATTAGAGCCAATGGTGATGGTCACTGCTGCTAAATGTAGCAGAGTGTTAGATTTTTTAATCGGTATAATTGGGCTATAAATTGTTGGGATTCATTTATAAATATTTAACGTGCTAAAATAAATTAACACTGCATTTTGTTTACTTCCTGTGTGGGTTTGACCTATGACACGGATGTAAAATTCATCCTAGCCAGAGACGATCCCTACATAAAGATGGAGACGGACAGTGAAGGAGTTTTAGGGCCAGATTCAGATGACGCATCTTTTGCGTGTGCATTTACATTACTTTTAAATGGAGACACACAGCTGCCGAGGTGCTAAAACACAGGACCAACGTGCTGGCGTTGTGTCCGTGAAGTACCTGCTGCATCTGGTTACGCATAGGGTGGAAATCAGATGAACCAGAAGAAAATATTTAAATGCACACAGTACCATGTGACATAGTTCACAGCGCTTTCTATACAATATTTAGTTTATACTGTGCAGTGTTATTCAAAAATTAGAAATTTAGTATTCTATTTTTTGTTTGAGAAAAGGTGAAGTGAGCCGCAGAGCAATTATCCACATCATTCATATTTCTCATACATTCAAAAATATTTTGAGTTAAGTTTATCAAATAACTTACCATTCTTTGACGGATTGATTCATTATTCATTAATGATTCCGCTTCATTGAAGTCTCCTTCATTCAAAATTGGAAGCTTGATGGGTAACATCTCAAGGGTAGTGACAGGTCCCCGAAGACCACCCGTGGTCATTTTGACATCTGCCAATTCACTTTTAAGAAACTGTATGTCTCTTGACGCTTCCTTTACCACCACTAGTACTTCTGCAAGCATGGAAGTAATTTTCTGTATGCCAAGGTCTTAAGGAAAAAAATTTAAATGAGAAATTTTAATAACTTGTCAACCACAACTGCAAAATCACACTACCTGAAATCAACTTGCCTTTCAAAAGATGCCTGGTGTCTTGGCCTTGCATCCATGTGTTTACATCTACAAAATACAAACATTCATACAGCTTAATCACTACAAACATTTTGAAAGGTATGAATGAAAAACCACTTAACATTTAAACCAAAAGGAATAATATCAAATTTTTTTATAAGCATGGCTGATGCACTGAGGTCTAATGTGAATTATCATTTCATAATAAGGGTTCATGAAGATCATGACATTGTTTTTTGAATGTGAATGTGATTGTTTGCCATCTAAGACAGAAAACATCACTTGTTCACTTACCAGTACAGCCTTGATCAAATGGCTTATCATACCGGTAGTAATCTAGAGGTAGGAAAATCAAATGCTGTAATTAGTACACAGACCATGAGACTAGTTTACTTTAATTTTACAGATATTGTTTTATTTTACATGCATTTTATTAGTAGATTAGCAAGGAGTGAAATGGCATACTGTTTCCTGCTTGACGTAGGGGATGAAGGGGTGTATACTGCCCTGAACTTCCCTGCACTGGACCTGTTGAAATAAGTGTAGTTGTTGAAACTACAGCTATAATTACATTTCAGAATAGTTTGGCTGTTTTTGCCATGGTAAATATTTGAATATATTTGCTAAAAGGAAAAAAGTCCTGCCCAGTACCAAACCAAGTAACTGGAGACTAACAGGTTAGCACACTGGAGAAGCGAAAATATTTCCCTTAGTAGCTGATGGAAACCAAGCCAGACCTAAAAAGCTCAAGAAATACCACTCTAAATGAGTCCTAATGTTGTTCTGTGCTACAACATGAACGTAAGGCTAATATGTTCAAAACGCCAACATGCTCCCAACAATTATCCTCGTGAAGTTCTGAATGGGGAAAAATGCATTGCAGAATGAGTATTACTCTGAACCAGTGATTAAACAGATTTACAAACAGGAAGCTGAAAACTATAGAGCTGTATTTACAATTTCCGAAAGCATGCTTCGCTACTTTAAACATTTGTGACTGTTACATGCCACTCCTTGCATGTTGTGAAGGTGTTAGTGTGTTGTGGAGGACTGCAAGCGATCTTGTTGCGACTGTAAATGTGACTGTAAATACATTTGATTAAATTAGATAATATGTCCTCTATGAGGGCAAGCAGAGAAACAGCCATGTGTTCACTTACTGTTCATACTTGGGACTGCGGACTGCAAATCATCTAAATAGCTGCCATTAGATGAGTCTAAAAGGGAAAATCAGCAAGGGTAAGAACTGAAGATACTCATTTAAAAAATCATGTACATCAAGTTGATGTATTTATTTGCTTATCAAGTACATTATCCATGTTTTTCAATTGCATGTGTGGCACCTGTAATGAGATTATTTTGTGATGAACATTATGTTTAACACTGTGATTATTTCTTGGTTAAATTTTATGTGCTGCACTCATTGGCAGGTGGCAAAGTAAGCTGTTTGTGAAACATTAATGTAGGTTATATGGACGAACACTAGCGTTGTCTTGATGAATGTGTGCCAACTGCCCCTACACTGATCAAGTTGCAATTTTGGTTGGGTCTTGCCCGTGAAGTAATCATAATGAACAATCAGTGAACACTCCCCACTCCTGTATGAATGGTGTAACACCTGTAATTAATTTGTAAATATGCTGTTTGTTAGCATTAATACAAACATACCATTCCTTGCATGCTGTAGAGAATACCCAGCATGGGATTGGCTGGAATTTGGCATTTCTATTGAGAAATAATTTTTAAAAGGTCATTCACACATCATACCTGTACACCTTAAAGACTGTATAAAGTTAATTTACATGTTAAAGCAAAACATTATGACCACCCATCTCATATTGGGTAGGCCCCCATTTGCCATCAAATAGCCCTGACCTATCGAGGCATGGACTCCACTAGACCTTTGAAGGTATCTGCTGTGGTATCTGTACCAGGCCATCAGCAGCAGATCCTTTAAGTCCTGTAAGTTGTGAGGTGGTGCCTCCAGTGAGGTGGGTGGTCATAACAGTTATGCTTGATTGGTGTATTAGAAAAGTCATGGCTGAAAATGTTTGTAAAAACTTTGCAGTCATGCATCTGTTATGCTCTCAGTGATTGCTACTTTAATGAACATTCTGTTGTAGGGATTTTAAAATCTTTTCATGATTTTAAAACAATTTTAAATACTTAGCAATCATTCAAATTTGGGTGAATGTTTAATGACATTTCTTTATGGTGTGATAAACCCAGAATATTTTTTACTGCTTTTCACGGTCTTTAAAATTCTCTTTTTTTGCAGGCACAATGTCAGATACACTGTAATCCCGAATAAGTTGGCAAAACTCAAAAAATTTGAGGTAATCAGTTACATCAAATTTTTTAAGTTATGAAATTTCCAATTTTAAGTAAGCAGAAAAATCTAGTTTTGAGTTTGTTGTACTCATGCAAAATAATTTGTTCTTACTTAAAATACCCAAGCTGTTTATGCATTTCGAGATCAATTAACTTATTTTTTTTAATATCTCCCAACTTTAAATACTTAGTCACCCTGCTTATACATTTTGATGGCATTTAACTTAATTCTTTTAATTTCTCTCAACTTTAAATACTTTATCACCCAGCTTATACATTTTGATTGCAATAATTTTTTTTATAGGTGAAGATAACGATGAACAACTGTAAAGTCCCAGATATTGCAGTGTTATTGTACAAAGTGATATTACATTGTGTATGTGTGCCCATTAAACTGTTAAAACTGTATAAACAAAATGTATTGGCATTCCATTGTATCAATATGTACCTGGGAAAGCAACATCAGGTGGTTTGGCAAACCTTGTCTTTCTTCTAACAACACCTGACAGCTCATCTGAGTCTGACGGCAAAAACAGGGGATTTGGCCTATATAAATAAACAAACAGAATATGTAGTTATTTCAGATGACATTTATTAGCCAAAGCCAGAGTACTGTAACCAAAAGGTTCCGTTTACCTGGATCGTCTTTTCTTCCGCATTTCCCCTTCATCCTCAGATTCTAGCTCAGAGGTTGCACACATTGTGGAGTTGTACTTGCTCTCTCGTCTTTTAGCTTCCTCAAAGGTCTCTGTGAGAGAGCAGAAGGAAAATATATACCAAAATATAACAGTTATGTGGCATAAGATTAAATTTTTATATACTTAGTTACAGACATAATTTTCATGCACAAATGTGCATATTGTTCTGATTACTCACCACAGGTGATTAGGGAACGGACATCCTCATAAAAGATCCATTTATCATCTGGTTTCATTCTGTCTCGAAGAGCCTTGGACAATTTAATGTTTGGGGGGGGCCACAACAATGTCTTCTCTTTTGTATTCAACCAACTCTCTAGAACTACTGCTGTGCCGCCATTTGGGAACTGCACAACTGACCACAGCACAACCTCACCTTCCATGAAGCTTCAGTATAATTTTCTATGACGAAAATGAAAATAAAATAATATCCTAGCAAGTTACCCCTCCACCCACACTTTTCCCATAGCTATATGCTATCTACTGCATTGGAATAAGTGGTATTGCTATTGCACTATCTCCGTCTGGATATAGAAGACATTTGCGCTTGATATGGCAAAGTTTACATATCCCTACATTGTCTTGCAGCCCACTCACCTTGTATGTACCAATGCATGACGACTCACAGGGATATATGTAGTATGACTGTTTGTGTCTGAACATTCTGTAAATTACATACACATTTTCCTCTGACTGTGCTATATTCTCCACTAATGCAAATCCATCTGACATCTCAATACAGTTGTCTCCTTTCTTTGTAGTCAATGTAAACTGATTAGTGGAGACCTTCCTGTATTGTCGTGAAGAAATGAATTGTGGGGGAACAGGGCCATCAGTGTGGATGTTTTGTAAAACTGGACAATTTCTTGGAGGTGGCACCTCAATAAGTGGAATTTCATACAACCTTTTGACTACCTGCTGTAGAGGCTGATGTGGCTTGCGTAGAAGATGCTTAATTTGCCCAAGATAGTTCTCGAAAGCAAATCCAGAGATATTGTCTAATGGACCAAACTGCCTGTATTCCTCTGCCAAGTGAATAAGCTGGTGGACATTGTATACAATCTCATCCTTTCCGTACACCTGTCCAAAGTGTTCAACAAAAGAAACCATTAAGTTGTGTGCAAATGCTAACATTACCTCAGAAATACCAGGGGACAGCAACAGGTACATGCCAACAGAAAACAACATGAAGTTGTTGTACATCTCACAGGGAAGGCAATCCTTCAAAACAACAGGGCCCCAATATAACATGAAAGATCGCAGCTCAGTGGCTTTCCAACGATCTATCTCCGACAGTCCCCTTGGTTTGCGGTTAAATTCACAAGGCGTGCTGGAACGTAGTGTTAGCAGTTTTCTTGAAATGGTTTCTACAATTTGGGAAGGCAGCCTTGTTGTCAGATTTCTGCCTTTTAACCACATATTCAGTAGTTTCCTTGTTACTCCAAGACAACTGAGATGCATGTAATCAATTGGGAACATTGAAACCATCTTAACTAACCCACATAATGGGCTAAGTGTGTTCCCAAGGTGGTGGTCGTCATCAACCATATCAGTGAAACTTGAGTCTGTCCTGAGTCTCACATTTATTTCTGGATATGTCATTTTCTTCCTCCACACACCTACCTGAAAACACTTGTCACACCCCGAATAGCCATTATGTGACTTAGTCTGCTTAATGAAAGCTCTCGCTGGAGCATCACAAATAAAAGAACAGATCTGTACTTTAAATCGCTTGCCATTATGAATAATGCCATTAGTAAGAACAGTCTTAAGATCTCCAACAAGCTGTTGTAGATACTCAAAAACACACTTTGGCTTGCTGATACCACAAAAGATGCCAACAACAAATGGGGACTTGGTGTAATCACATCTGAGGCATGCAAGTATAGGCCAAAACTGAAGTTTTGAACTTTTGAATAAGGGCAAACCATCTATAGAGAACTGCAACTTAAGAGTAGTCAGAGTTGCTGGCAAACTCAAACAAGCCAACCGTGAAAGTACTCCTTTTACTAACCCAAAATGATAGTACTCACCACCTTCAATTTGAGTGGTAGACACATGTGCTTGTGTATCAAGCAAAGTCCTTCCATCCTTTGGAAGAGTTGGGTGAAATATTTTCAAGATAGACAGCAAAGCAGAAAGTGCAACCAGAGACACTGAATAGGATGTTGCCCAATGTTTTAAACTCCTTATGAGTAAATCTTCATTAGGCTCATCACTCTCAACATCAGAGTTATTTTCAGTGTCAGATTCAATTTTTTCCGCCTCAGCTTCACTTTTAAATTGAATATCTATTGAACGCGTTTTCGAATGGATATGTTCACTCTGAACACTAGGTAAGCAATCTTGCAGGCAATCAGAAGAGGTTGTCATAGAAGGATGTGTGCCCTCATGAGTGTGAAGGTTTACATTTGAATTAGCAGTGGCCAAATTATATTCAGTGAGGATGTCCTGCTCTGTGTCCCTCAATAATTTGCTGACTTTACGTCTTTTAGCCCAATAAGAAGACATTATATGAACATGAGTGATGGAGATGCTATGAATATTATTATATTATAAATTAAAAGTGCAGTACTTGGCTGGAATATATTTTATGCTGTCTATAGCTTACATCCGTATTTCTGCTAGTCTTCTATCTTGTTTGTTGGTGGCTGAAGGAAAAACATAAAGGGTCTAAATTAAGTTATTGCAATACCACACCACATCAGTTTTTCAATACAAAAGTTTGACAGCTTTACATAAATTTGTACTGTCAGAATAAACATCTTCCAGAAATAAGCATTTATTCAGAGTAGGCATAATATTCTTAACACCTGCACAGTTGATGCAGGGATACTCAACTTGTTTTGTGCAGGGACCAGAGTAAACTAGTAAACTGTACATTTCCCTTCTGCAAATGCATAAGTCCACTAACAAGGTCTCATTATATAACACTATACTGCTATAGGAGAAGACGACTCAAGTCAGCGTTTCTCAAAGTTATTTGTCCTGGGGCCCAGTCATGTCAGGCTTTGGTGCTGCAAGGCCCATTGATAGATATGTTATTACTATTATACCACTACTACTACTGTTACTATTTCTATTTCTATTAATAGTATTAGGGCTTATGCCTATATACGTTTTTCGTTGTCTGTTAACTTTTCAGCACTTTGGTTTGGGTGGCCAATTCATCACGTTTTTTTTTGAAGAAATCTTCTTATTTATCTTTGAGATGTGTATGTTTTGTTTCCAAATGCTGGCGTACGTAATTCCGATGGATTAATAGCCTCGTTACTTAGCAGAGCTTGGCAGATGACACAGATAAATAAAGCCGAATTTTTTGTATGATGGGTTGTAATTTCGAGCGCATGATGAAGTCTGCATCGATAGATGGTCGATTTATTGAGAGCTCCCGTAACGCATATGTGTGTGCGGATGAATGGTTTGGAGTGAATGAGACAAAGGGGGCAAATTCTCACGGGCGGGAACGCTTCACGTTATAGCTAGAACAGGGGTGCCCACACTTTTTCGGCTTGCGAGCTACTTTTAAAATGACCAGGTCAAAATGATCTACCTACATTAAAAATGCTAAAAATGCTTTTTCTTTTATTACATATATACACTGAATATGCTTTATATGCAGTGTATGTTGGCGAACCTTGCATCACTGCATGAACCCTTACAGCACAATACAATCCAGTACATTTATGGTTTCTTACTTCGCCCGGCTTCCCTATTCATTTTTAGTAGGTATAAATCGGAAGGCTAGCTGGATCACTTTGCTCGCTGGAGTTCTACATTAGCTCGCAATACATTCGCGTTTTCTGCCGGGTGATGTATTAGAAGAGAATGGATCTAAGTAGATATGTTACTGTAACCTAATGTAACGAAGTTTTAAGCAAAAACGGAGTGGCCGCGCTTTACGTCGATCAAGTGCCGAATGCCGAAGGGAGGATAGATGACAGGAGAAAAAATTGAATGTCGCGCGATCTACCCGCACTACCTTCGCGATTTACTGGCAGATCGCGATTGAAGTCAAGGGGGGCGGGATGTGGCGCGCAGTGACAGATGCCCTGAAAGCAGAAGCATTGAAAGCAGACATGACCTGACTGAATTTTGACTGGTGCAGAACCAACCTTGTCTAAATTCTATAATGAAGCAGACTTGCGTGCCAGGGCGTTAATTGTTTGCTAACTTGGCCAAGACGCCCTGTTAAAGTACCCATTTTCTTACCTCCAACAACTGTAATGGACCTATTAAAGTTTGTAATGGACAGAAAAACATTGTTGGCCATGAGAGTAATTGTCTTGTAAGTGTGTGTAACTGTTCTGTTAAATAAACCCCCGTGTACGTCCACTACGCGTGTCCGTAGTTTTCTATGCAAGACCGGATTCGCCATTGACGACACCGGCTGGCTGTAAAGTGCGCGTCAACCGGGCTAGTCTCNTGACACAAATTCTACTTTTTTTCTTAATTATATTATCTTGTCTGTTGTTTAACTTTGCGTCATTTTCCAGTATTTTTGTAGTTACTTTTGCCCTTTATGTTTAAAAACGCTGTGTCATTGCTATATACAAAACTTACAAATTGTGACATCGATTATTGCGTAACTAGACTGCTTGCCGTGTTTCTAGACATGTTGTCATAGCTCTCTACTTCTTTTGTTCTTTCTAAAACATTGATAATTACTGTGGGATTGATATGGGTGGTTTATTCAAATAAAAAACAAATTAATGTGATTAATCGTCTACGGTATCGCCCTCCAGTGTGATTCGTTCAGTTGGCCTGGTGCTCATTCCAACACTTAGGTCTTTCCCACATCAATCGTTAGATTCAGTTTGTTTAGCTTTCTGAGACTGCTACATCAGAAGTCACATGACAAAGTTCCAATAAATCCCATGCCCATGAATAATTTCACTGTTTTCCAGCTGTCTGAACAGTAAAATATTCATACACATTCCTCAGGAGATGCATTTTTATATGTACCACAAATACATATTTTCATATTCCTGATCTAGCTAGACTCATGCTTCTCCTAATCGAGACTACACATTTTCAAAGCCCACAAAGTTTACAAAGAGGGACTGTCCCATCCCCGCTACAGTTTTATGGTAATTTTAATATCGTATGACTCAGTTTGTGATTTATAGCTTATTTTTCACCCTTAGCTGACAGACATTGTGTTGCAGAGCTGTCTGGATTTGTGAAAACAATGGTGTGGGTGTTTGCTCTTTATAACAGAATATTTTCACGTGGCTGAAGAGTTCTCTAGATGAAAAGCATCTTAAGGATAAAAGACTGCTAAAATGTGTATTTCTGTAAATTCAGGCCAAAGGAAGTAATGGAACACTATAATGTTGCTGTTTTTTTTGCCTAGTCGCTGCTTGTACTGATATTTAAGCTCTCATTTTTGTCATATATATAAGTATATATTGTTCTGTAGTAATACACTCTCATTTATTTATAGACAACTACTTGATACCTATCCTGAAAACATCAGAAAAATAGATCTTCTCAGCGGAAAACAACTGTTATATTCCTGTTATATTTTAACGAAGGATAAAACGTGAAATTACACTGTCTTCCCCCCAACCACTCAGTGAATTACATTACTATCTAGCCACCTCAGATTGTCCGTTCTTTAACCTATGACCAACTGCGCACTGTCGCCCCAGACGCCTAGTTAATGCTGTAGTTTAAAAACACTTAATACGCATGCGCAATTTTATACAACCGCCAGCGTCCCATAATTCCGCAGGAAAACACGTTCGAGAAAGTAAATTATCTGTGTGGGAAAACGCCAACATGTCGGAAAAGAAACAAACAGTCGATTTAGGATTGTTGGAGGAGGACGACGAGTTTGAGGAGTTTCCAGCTGAAGGTAAATTACTTGTGGTCGAAGCGCCATGAGCAATGCTTAACTAGTATTTTATAAGTGTATCATATGATAGGCTCTGTTGACTGCGCTGGAGAGTGACTCAGCTGAGGTGAGGAGTGTCATGGTTAGCCAGCTAGCTAGCTGGTTACCCGTTTGTGAGCGAATCGCTTTGATAAGAAAATACCGTAAGCTGGCTGGTGAAGTATCTGACAGTGCGACTATGGTGTAATTAAATGGATGCTTTGATAAGTGTGAAGTCCTACCACTTGTCTGTTTAACTCATTGGTGTATTTATTGTTAGCACGCTAGCACTGCTTCTAGCTTCGTCCTTTCAAACTAAATAGATTCAGAATTTATTCGATGTTAGCATAAATTACTATTTCTTTTAATTACAAGAGTAATATTTATACCAGCGCATTTGGGTTCGTTTCTTTATACGGTCGTATTTGGTTGGCTGGGTACAGCCATGTCTTGTTATACACCGCTAACGGCTAAGCATCTAGTCCTGGCTGATAGGATGTAAGCCTGCACGGTGGCCTAGCAACAGAGACTGATGTCTGCACGTTCCTAAAGATCTTAAAATTGTGTTTTTAAAACGATCTTGGTCATAAAACCTTTACCTAATGTAAGAAACGTGCCTCACATAAAACTAGTATTAAAATGTTTAACTTGGAGAATTTCCTAATATGTATGTGTGTTTCAGGCAGAAGCGTTTTTGTCCCCTCTTGGGTTACAGAAACTTGTTTTGAAATATTACATTAACAAGTGTTTAAGCTCACTTCTATATCTTGTCCATCCCAAGCATATCATAGATAGTGTTCTACATATTGATGCATTTTTTTTAAGATGCCAGAAGTACTGTGGCGGTGAATACATTTCTGAATGCAAAATTTTTTATATATTTTGGGGAGTTGGAATCCTGGATTTGGTGACAGTAGTCAATAACCAATAATTCAGCTTCTTATTTTTCAGAAATAGTAGCAAGAAATGGATGTCACCTGCCCATATTAAAACTATAATTCCATACATCTTTGGGAAGTTATTTGTTTAGTGGATCCTTTCACATATATTGCAAGTTATAAATCCTGTTTTGGACACAATTTCTTAACCTTTGTTAGCATGGTGTCATTAATGATGGGTATATATGTTAAATTAAATACGTGAGGTTAGATTTGTGTCATCAGTGTTGTAGCAAAAATTATAATATGGCACACTCCAAAATCCTTCTGGTGTCTGAATGTGGAATCATTGTAAAGTTAACTTTAAAGTGACTTTTTTAAAACTAAAATTGGAGATTGTAATGCGGGATTACTTTCTTAAAATTCAGAATGCAGACGACGTAGCTTGTTCTTTGTGTTATGTAGTCATTGGGGACTGCATTTCCAAATAGCTTAAACTGTATCAGTCCTGCACTTACAGGTTTGTGCTTTTGTGTAATGCCTTTGAACAACATCCATAGTTAACTTTGTGACCTGATGTTTTTAGATTGGACTGGCTTGGATGAGGATGAAGATGCTCACGTGTGGGAGGATAACTGGGATGATGACAACGTAGAAGATGACTTCTCTAATCAGTTGAGGTAAAGTGATCTGCCAGTCCTTTTCAATACCTGTTTAATAGGCTTCAGTTACTTAATCTGAACAGTGGTAAAAGTGATAATCTGTATTAACAGTGTAGGTATTGGTGTGTCAGTTGAACATAGTAACTGGATTTCAAATATAGAAAAATACTGTTCGATATTTGTGTGTTTCAGCTGAGTAAAATTCTTATACAATTGTGCATGTGTTGGTGTTTACTGTTATAATGTGTAAGTACTCTTCTACAGTTTTTAGGTGGTATATACTAGCATTTTATTCTGCTGTCATCTGTGTTGGGATTTGTTCTGAATTTAATTATTTTTTTCCCTTTTTGTGGGTCATTTGAAAAGTTATACAAATCCTCTTTGTTTTCCTATAAAATGAAAAAAAAAAAAACCACAAATGAAAAACAGGCATTACAAGTTGGGCAAAACACTGTATAGATTTCAAATATAAAATTAAATCTTTAAGCACTTAGGGATTACAGGACAAGCTGGAAACCAGCATATTGTAGGTGGTCTTAAACCACAATGACTCCTCTAAGGGGAGTTAAGAGATGCTGTCAATTGTAGGGTTTGAGTTAACTGAAGAAGTCTTTCCTAGTAATTGGTGGTAATTCTAACACTGGGTTAGCCCACAGCAGGTCTTCGGCAAATTCAAGACTGCCTCACGTTTTACCAGTTTTTTCCGATGTGAGATTCAGGATTCATTTTGGTTTGCCCACTTTTCTAAAAACTTTGTGTCAGATATTTATTTTGTCTATGAGTTACGTCTTGAAATGATATTCAGCGTTCTGTCATCTTAGTAGATCTCACTGATATGTAATGTCACTCTAAACTTTTCTGTGTGGTGCAACATTGTTTTTTGGTAATTAAACTGTGACACAAGATTCAAGATAGGTGATACATTTCACTGCATAACATGTGACAAATAAACTAAGTCCCTCCTGGACTGTGCAGTATAAAGAAGTAGAGAAAGAGCTAGCAATACGAATTTGAAATTAAAAATACTCATTATTTAAAGGCAGTCAGGAAGAAAAATAACGTAAAATATGAAATATAAAACAATAAAGTATATTCAAGATTAGGGGCTGAACTATGATGCATAACTAGGATAATGTGCATAGGCAATGGAGTTATTTACATTATATTGTACATTTACTGTGCATTGTTTACAGTAGTGAATGTAGCGCAGACAGAAAATGAACAATGTACATAGTAGCATTAAAGGTGTGCACTTTTATGTTGTAACCATCATTTCCTTTTATTGTTCATTTTATTTTATGTCTATAAATTGGTGTGCATCTCAGGTGGTTAGTGACCTGTAGAATGAGCCCTGACAGTTATGAAGAATTTACTACCAAGCATGTGTTATGGGACACGTAATGAAAGTCATCATAGATTTTAGCCGATGGAAGTTTTTTTTTTTCTCTCTTTTCTTTTTTTTTTTAATCACTTGAAGTTGCCTGAAGTGATTACGTATAGCTGTAATATGTTTGAACTGGGGGGAGGTGAAGTACATTCATCTTGTGCTATTTGAGAACTCTCAGCGTCCTCTGCTTTAAGACCCATTTCTCTTTCCCCCTGCAGAGCTGAGCTTGAAAAACACGGCTACAAAATGGAGACGTCCTAGTCTTTCACACACCTTCAGAAGATCTATCAGGGATACGGACTCTGGGTATCTTCAGAAACGACAGCAAACACAACGGAGTTATGGGCACCTTTTTTTTGTAAAAATTAAATAAAAGTGTTGAACACACATGGCTTTTATTTCCCTCTGAACAATGAAAACGATTAAATGATCTAGTCTTATTAGTCTCTGTTTATGTTTAGTGTGAGGGTGAAAGGTTATGCACTGCGTTAAACCTGAAGAGGTGCTGTAATAAGCTGAGATATGATAAGATGGCGAGCGTTCGCTGGGCTCCTGTTGTCAGGGCTGTGAAATGAGTGGCTCTGTGTCTGCTCTCGTGCTCACGGCATCCCCTCTGAGACCGGGCACCCCGCGGAGCCTCTGATGGGCAGATTATCCAGCGTGGTGTTTGCCGAGCGAGGGAGGTGCTCACAGCGTGAGGCCTGGCTGGTCCTGCCCGGGCCTGCCTCTCGTCATGTCGAGCCCGGGACACTCTTCCTCCTCACAGCAGGTCCCCCCGCACAACCATGGGCCAATTTGCAGAGTTGCGCACCCAGCGAATGATCGGCTTGGATTTGGGCTCTGAGGCCCTATCCTTTAATGAGCTGAAATCCATGCCAGTGAGGGATCACTTGCCGTGGGAGACCCTGTTTGAGTGGGGGTCTGTGTAGTCGTATGAATTTCTTTTTAAAATCTCCTGGCCGATTTAAAATGCTGACTCTTTGAAACCTTTAATACCATAGACTAATACTGTTTTGTTTTTTTATTTGGAGGGGTGTTTCTGCAATAGTAAATAAGGAATCATATGTTGAACCATAGTTGTTTTGAAATTAAGTGTTCACTTATAACAAGGGGTTAGTTTGGAATTCCTTTGAGTGTACGTGTCCAAACACCCTTGTTTGCTTCCAGTTTTGGTGATTTTTAAATCCTTAATAGCCTTGTGGTTATAATTAGTGCTTGATTTATGGGGTTACAGTCAAATTGTAGTGTGAGTGTTTAACAGGCAAACGTGTCTTGGTTTGGCTTGTCCATCCCCAAAGCACAGGACATGTTCTGAAGGCAAAACGCGAGTAGCAGCTTTAGGGTGGCTTAAGCCGGGTCTCCAGGCCGATCAGGGGACCAAAACAGCAGAGAGCGAGCAGATCCACCCGGACCGTTTCTATTGCTGCTGTGGGCCCGATCATTACTTTAATTGTCGGAAAGTTATTGAAGTGTGTAAATCAGTAAGTGAGGGCAATGCTGGTGAATCTATAGCCATTTTGTTTGTGCCGGAGGCTGAAGATGAGCCTCTTGTGTTCGACACATACAGCACCATCTGTGTCCCTGCATCCTCCCAGCTTCCCAGACTGTGCCCATGAAGCAGCCGTTTGTCTGCCTTTTCAATATGTTTTGTTTTGTGCTTTTATGAGCTGATTCCATTTACTTCCTGTTGGTTGCTTGTATCTCAGCAGCAGTCATGACATATGAGACATTGTTTAGCTGTTAGTGAGGTAATGCTTCCCCTCTACACCCCCCCGCCCCAGTGATCAGTCATGAAATTAACTTAAGAATTATTTTGATTTTATGAGTTCCCATATTCTGTAAATATGATTAGCTTCTGTTGTGGCCATATGGCCAGGCTCAGAAGGGTTGTGTTTTTTTACATGGTATACAAGTGTTTGCTGTAAAAGTAAACGAGTAAATAGTACTGCAAGACAGATGGTAATATTTGCTTTCATGGCCCTGAAAGGCTTTTCTCTGTTCAGCGCTTGTGGATTGTATTCATGTTGTATTATTTTGCTATACTTTTATTCCTTTAGTACACTGGTGTCAAACTCCAGTCCTGGGGGGCCAGAGCCCTGCCCATTTTTGGGTTTCCCCTCATTTAACACACCTGATTCAACTCCTTGTGCTAATTACCACACAGCTCTTGAGCTGAATCATTTGTTGCAGAACAGGGAAAGAACTAAGCTACACAGGGCCCCGGCCCCCCAGGACTGGAGTTCGACACCCCAGCTTTAGTAAGTAAGAAGGACAGGGTTGGACCTTTGAACCCTGGGCTTTTGTGGTCTGGGTCAGGTGTGAGTAAGTGTAATGAATCCGGTAGGGGAAGAGTGAGAAGTCTGCTAATCACCAGTCAGTGGGATCAGTGGTATTCCGGTCGCGGCTAACCGGTGGAAGGTGTGGTGGGACGGCCATGCGGCCGCCGCAATGGAGGGCCCAATCACACGCCTTCCTTTTGTGGCGATGAAATCGGTGGCGGAGGTAGAATGAGTCACACCGAGTGCACTCCTGGGGGGGGGGCGCGTCTTCACCACCCACCGGCCCAATCCCACACCTGCACCCGTGCCAAAGTAAACACGCATAATAAGCCATAATTACTGCAGAAATGATAATAACTGCTCCCCATGTGACAATGGCATGACTGTGTGCTGCCAGGAGGAATGATATCTTACCAAGACGTGGAGGGGCACCTCTGTCCTACCCAAAAAGCCCCCAGACGCCGGGGTCGCCCAGCACCCCTTGTTTTCCTCCATTCTGTTGTTTTCGTGACCGCCGTAATGGCGACGACACAGTCTGAAGGTTATGCTTCCTGATCCCTTGAGTGACATTTGCTTCTCTCCCAAAGCAATGCAAATGCGATGCTGGCCATGGCCATCCGCGGGGTCGGGCGCGCTGCACTGCTGTCATCGAGAAGCAGCCTGGGCTTACGGTGAGCTGACAGGCTCTCACACAGAGCAGCCGAAGGTAGTGTTTATTTACACCAGTGGCTGCAGTTTAGTCGCTGCAATAACAATGTCTCCAGTGTAATGTCAATCCATATTACAGGGCTCCGCAGCATATGAGGCGCTCTCCCATGATTCCCGGTCCAAGGGCAACCTCAATCGGTCTCAAACTAGGACCGCTTAAACAAACAGATCGTTTTCTATCTGAAACGTTAAACTCTTAAAGACAATATTGGTTTTAAAACAATAACTATAATTATGTAGCCGGGTAGCTGGTTGCATAGAGCAAAGGTACATTGTGTCTTAGGTATCAGAAGGTTTGATTATTCCTACAATGTAAGCGTGCAATAATATTATTAATACCTTACAATGAGGTATTAATATGCGAAAGCAGAACAATTCTTTATGGATGCTCAATTAGTACAATACAAAAAAATCCATCTGCGAGATGTCATTAACAAAGCCAATATTAGGGCAAGCCTTGATGAAACATGCAGTAATTCCTGCTGCCTGAGTTTTTATTTCCTTTTGTCTTCCTGCTCTGAAAGACTTCAATATTCCCAAAAATGCGAATAAAACCCTATTCTGGTTTGCGCAAGTTTGATACATTAATTGCAACCCCAAGGCTTAGTCCAAATGCCAGATAATTATACTGCGATTTTGGAATTAGCTGTGATTAGTACACTTGACCCATGAGAACCGGGGACTAAATTCCGTCCAAAGCCGATACGCTATAAGCTAAAGAGGTGTCTGTGTGTTGAGTATTGCAAGGTGGGAAATGGTGCATTTCAGGTCAAAAGTGGGGCTATATCTCTTGGCCCATTTTGAGCTGGCATTGCTCCTGCGGACACCATTTCAAAACACGAGATTTGTTATTTTTTAAATAAAGGAAATCAAGCATTTAAGTAATGTAACCAGTTGGAGGAAAAATGGTTGGTTCCTTGGTCAGAAGAGTTCGACATAATTACGGGTTGTAAATATTGGCTCAATGTTCCACAAGAATTGTCTTTATGAAGTCATTAAGGCTCGAACGTGTGAGATAGCTAAATGGGCTTTGAAAGATAGCGGTGATTGATGTGACGGCTTTAACAAGCTCCCCTCTGTGACTCTGAAAGCATGCGCAAGGACACCGATACCCAGTCATTATATTTTGTTTTCCGTCTTTATTAATTTCCTTTGTATTCATACGCATTCATATCAAGTCATTTCCCAGCAACTAATAGTCTAGGCAGCGAGGGAAATTTTATAGAGCAATTTAAGCCTGAAAGAGCAATTAGCTGCTTTTAATTTTAGCATCACTAGCGAATTATTATTCGTTTGATAATTGTTACTAATTAATCACCTAACGGATTCGCGATTGTGCTGATGTATGTTGTAACTGCAGGCCAGGGTGGCAGCGCCTTCTCATTGGGTTATGATCTGTATGGCTGTTTGTAGATGATGGGAATGGAATTCTGATGAGTTTTTTTCTTATATTACTGCCGTATATTGACCTGTTATGATTGTGTGTTGTTGCTCCTTATGGTTGCTCCAAATATTTTGCCCCCCCTGACAACAAGGAACCCGTTTGCACATGTAGGCAAATGGAAACCTGTAAGTGGGATCCTGGAACCGATTAAGTGAAAGTGCGGGAAAAAAAGGTATGAATGGAATGGACCTGGCCTTGGACCTGAAAGTCCATGAAGCTCAAAGAGAGACCATCTGTAGCGTTCGCCCAGTAGAGAGACAATCCATTATTTATAGGACAAACATCAACATCCAAGGCACCAGATCACTTTGTTTTGTTGTATTTGTATTTGATATTTGTATGTGTCCACTGCTGTCCTGCAAGTTATCAAACTACAGCTTATGCGTGTCAATCTTGGGTTTCCCATCTACCAGAATTCTTATTTGCGGATGCCTTGATTCCGATACTGTCTCCCTTTAGTTCAAACATCTCCGACACACCATGTCTATTTTCTGTGTTGAAAGTTCATTGAGATCATTCCCCAGTTGCACATCAGTCATCACATGCTAATATTATTGTTATATGAAGAAGATATGCATGACTGTTAGCCTTGATGTCTTTATGATAGTATGACAGATATTGCAGGACATTTCTGCGCATGCATGCAGAAATGTCCCGCAATACCTGTCAGTGACACAAACCAGTAAAAAGATTTAAATTTCCTGTAGCTCGTTTTCAGAAAGATAAAACATAGATTCATTTTCCTCAGTGATTTTGCGATCTGCTTTTTGAGTGGCATGCACTCGTTCAAATGAGCAAAAGCAGACTGAGCCTACAGACTGAAATAGGAAATTCGAAGTTTATTCCTACTGCTACGCCTGGAATTGGAAAAAAAAGGTAAATTTGAGCCTAGCAAACAAAGAGCTGGTGTATGTTTCAGAGGGGGTGTCTGGACTGGATCATCCAAACTTGCTGAA